CTCTAGTCCTCTGTGGCTATGTCACTGACTCTGGGGCCAAGAGTCCCCAGGACTTGTCGAACTGCTAGCCAACCAGGTCTCCACCAGGGTTCACAGGAGTCTATTGAACATTATAAGGCTTAGCTCGCAGCTTCATTGCTGTTTTTCCCTCACTTCCCCTTATCGGTTAAGAGCGCATATTCCCATTGAGTCTTAGTCTTGGAAAGGGGTTTGCACTGAGGGGACCGACCACTTGCCTTGATGTCACCCGGGTGAGAAACTTGCTTATTCTTGTAGTAATCAGTTGGTTCTTTTAGCGGCTCCAGGCTGGTCTGCTTATCCTTTCAAGTGGTAATTCCCTCCTCTGAAGATTCTGGATGCTGTTCAGGATTCCACCTATAGTCTCATGTAATGCAGAGGCTCGGCAGGCAGCCTCCTTCACTGGGCACGTTGTAGCCCCATTTTAGGTATTCCAATCAGTTATAGGCAAACGATGGACTTACAAGCTTTCTATGGTGATATTTCTGGCTATTTCCTTCTCTCCCCCGCTCACTAGCTTTTGCCTCATGAATTTCTTCCTGACCCAGATGGCTGCTTTTATTGAGTTGCCATGGTGCCTGTAAGGCCTGGCCATCTTTTTCCAAACGGTCACAGGTTTGAGAACTCTCTGGAGCAGGGTTCTCTGTGCACATGGGCTCATCCTAAAGTTCCCAAGAACCCTGGCGAAGTCTCCGACTGCCTGCTTCTCTGCTTCAGCATCGCCTGACCAGCAGCCTAGGGCTCTCTGCAGGCCTGGCTCCCAGATCACTTGAGTGTGTCCAGCATTCCGAACACCTGTGTGAATCGCTCTCCATCCATGAAGCAGGGATTTGGTTTTTCTTCACTTCGGTAGTCAAGTGCTTGCTTGACCAGGCCTTCTGTGGAAAATGTGACAGCTTATTTCTGTAAGCCTTGGAAATCCTGTGGGGCAGTTCTGCTGTGTCCTATCAGGTCCCTCTGAACCAGAATCGGCTCAAGAGTTTTGCTTGCTTTTCAGTGTATTTTCCCCTTGCCCACAATGCCCTTGTAGAAAAACGGTTCCAGCTTTCTTTGTCTTTCCCCCAGCCTCCAAGCTTTCTTTGTACAAAATGCTACAATACACCAGCTATGCAGTAACCACTGAATAGTATTTACTGAGAGTGACTGGAAGCTGAGATGCCAGAAACCTTTATGAATTCAAAGTGCCAAGGAGGAGTGAGGAACTAAGTGTCTGCCGACAGGTACAGCACAAGACTGTTACTCCATTTATTCCTCAGCACTACCCAGGAAGGCATCCTCATTTCCCACGTAAGGGGCTGGACTTGGGTGAAACGAGTTGCAGGTGGGAGCCATTCTGCTGCTCCCCCTCCTTCACACTGTCGGGCTGATGCCAGGTCACGGAGCATCATTTAGGCCAGCAGAGCTGCACGTCAGCCCACACCACCACTGCTTCTCATGCATTTCATCACGTGAGGAGACAGACGTTCAATTTCAGACCCTGTCAAGCAGCCCAGGTAAGTCACACAGGAGACAAGTGATGCAGTTGAGACTTGAATCTAGGCCTCCCTGCTTCACTCCTTCAAAGTCCTCAAGCACCCTAACAGTTGGAGACTCAAAGGAACCATGATGCATGAGGTGAAAGAATTCACAGGGGCCGAATTCTCCTCAACACCTATTTCTTTAGCGCTGTCTACAGGCTGCCTATCGCCATCTCACCTCTTTCTGCCAATCTGAAGGTGGTTGTTAAATGCCGTCGAGTCTGTTTCAACTCATAGCGACCCAATAAAGGGATTTTGAGGAGCAGCTGTGGGGTTTGAACTGCTGATCTGGTGGTTAACAGTCCACTGCTTTATCCTACAGCATTCAAACCCATCTCTAAAGTAAAAAAAAAGGCAAGTTTGGAAAACAAGAAGCCTGCCTTTCCTACCAACTTAACCTTGGGAAAGTTACTGGATCCCTCTTCAAGCCTCGGTTTCCTCATCAACAAAGCCAGAACACCTAGCTCAGACCGAGGGCTTGCTCCTGACTGGATACGTTGGTGAAAGCCGACAGGACTACTGGCCTCAGAGAAGTCTCCAATGTCTGTAGATCTGGAGTGTGTGTGCTTTGTTAGAAAAGTTTAGAAATGAGCCTGGGTAAAGTCACCAGGACCGCAGGCCCCTAAGATGGTAGGTGCAGTGTGGTTGTTTGAGGGAGACGGGGTAGGAGGAGAGGCACAGGCACCACACAGACAGGCAGGAATGATGAAGAACACACAACACACACGAAGTTCTGTCAGATCAGAAGCAGCAAAGTGATCACGAGAGTTGTGTGGAGACACAGGACACCTGGGCAGCAGGAAGAATCGAACACAAACATGGAGGCAGACCCTGGCTTTCCTACAGCCCTCTGACAAGCTTTCTCCTCAGTGAAATGGGGAGACACCAAAACTAGAGCAGCAGCGGTTAAGCAATGTGTGAACAGCTCCCACAGGGAGGTTCCATACCGTTCTATCTCGAGTCCTATCAGCTCCACAAACATACTACGGTGGTAGGCCACTGAAGACTCAGGCGTCCGGAAGGTTGAAATGAGATATTCAGTACAAGACTTCAAAAAATTCTTGGAAAAATGGAATGAAAACATCATGGTATTTCCCCATGAACTTTCTGGAGCCCTCTGGTACTGAATGTGGAGGAGGCCCGCGCAGTGGACAGGGTGTTATGAATGACGTCATTCCATTGGTGCACTGCTGAGTGGTACATTTCGGGCACCCACTGCAACACACGCGGATCCACAGCTTCCCCCCATCAACAAGAAGGCAAATCAGGCTCCAAAACAGCTCCTTTACTGAGATCTACCTAAACCTTTCCAGTCCTGAATGCAAATACAGTTCAGCTCAGTGGATGGCTGATCTGGGAACAGGCTTCAAGGGGACAGAGGCACCTTTCACCCACAGGGACCCCAGGGCAGGTTCTTGAGGAACTAACGCATGTGTGATAAACTCAAGGCCTCTGTCCCATCTTCTTCAGCGTGCGATTGAGCTAGAAGAGAGGGAAAGTCCAGTCAGACACAGAGCTGCCCCTAAGCCTTCCCCACAGTGAGCACGGTCCTGAACTCAGAGGATCCCAGCAGCCCCTGAAGTTAGGGCTGAGTGTCCATGTGAGAGTCCACTGTGGAGTCTGCAGTTAGGCAGATAGCTCTTCTACCCCCTTCACATGCAATACCCCCACCTCCCCAAACTGCCTCCCTGTGCACAGATGAGGAAAGGGATTCCGAAGAGCTCAGCCAGCCAAGGCTGATAGCTTCATTAGTGAAGAACGAGGGGCTGAACCCAGATTGTGACTGTCTTTCCCAGAACAGGACCAGCCACCACACTGACAATGTGATGCCGACAGCCCTGCAGGGGAGCCTGGTGCCCAGAGCACAGCAGAACAGCGACCTCTGCTGGAGGACTCGGGCCAGCAGGCTCCAGCTGTGACCACAAAAGGAGACCCACACCCTGGGCATGTTTGGCCTGGCCTCCACATCTCCTAGGGCCATAGGCAGAGCACACCAAGTCTGTCAAAACAGGGGCCCTGTCCTCCTGCAGGAACTGGCCAGACCTGTCTAGGATGGAGAGCAGCTGCCAAATGGGGAGGGTGGGTGAGAGCAGGCAGTGAGTCCATCCATATTAGGAAAACAGCAGCAGGGAGAGAGGGCCACCCTCAGAGGGAAAGCTTGGAGAGGGATGCTCCAGAGAAAGCTGATACAGCAACAACCCGGGCCCAACCCTTTCCCACAAACCCCAAGCAGACAGTCAGTCTGGCTCAGAAACTTAAAGGAACAACTCTAGGTTTCTTGAAAACAGAAACGAGAAAGTCCCACCCAACACCCTGCTCTCTCAGACCTCTCACCTCCTCAAATTTATGGATCTGGCGGATGAAGAAATCCCCATAGCGCCTGGCGACCTTGGTGTCCGCGATGTGGATCATGTCCTGTGGGGAAAAGCAGAGTCAAAGAAAACGGAGGGCTCAAGACCACTCTGCACAACTGATGCGGCTCCACGGGATCTGCAATGCTTTCTATGAGCAAGGGCGGGGGCTGCCTCCCCCACAGCCAGTAGCCAGCCCCGTGGGGGAGCACCAGAGAGCAGCTTTCTTCCTAACAGTCCAGTTTAACACATTCTTACTCCGAACTCATTCTTACTTTCCAATCTATTTCAATGAACACGGATCTTTAACATTTGAAACAATGTTTTATTCTTATATACTGTGGATAAGAATGCAAACTAGGTCACTCTTTAGATTTTCAACTCACAGTATTTCATAGATTGCCATTCTAACTTGTAAAATTTCTAGGCAATCTAGACTACGGCCCAAGAACTTTGATCCCACAAAGAAAAAGCAACATTTTGCCAAAAATGAACCTGAACCAGTATTAAACAATAAGCAAATACATGCAATTAACAGTTTTTGAATGTTTGTGACCCAAGCGAATAAAAACAAACAAATGAACAGGAAGCATGGACTAGATAAAGTTGATAAGGGGACTCTGTGGTGCTGTCAGATAAGCTTTGGACTTCGAACCACAAGATGAGCGGTTCAAACCCACCAGCTGTTCCTTGGGAACCCTATACAGGGTCACTATGAATTGGAATCAACTTAACACTTAACAAAAACTTGTAGACAAGGAGTCCTAGGATGGCGCTGTAGGATAAAGCACTGTACCAAAAAGTCAGTTTGAACTTTTTGAGTCAGTGGTTCAAACTCATCAGTTGCTCTTTGGAAATACTATACAGGGTCACTATGAATCGGAACTGACTTGATGGCATTTAACAGCAAACAGTAGATAAAATGAAAACTCCTTCCCAGTATCTTATTACCATGTTACAGAGTCTAACTCAGGAGCATTTGACTTGATTATGACCTCAAAGCAAAACTTTACTTGTAGCCAACAATCAAATGTTAACTAATCCAAAGAGGTTTAGTTAGGTTTCAGCGAGTAGATAAATGTATAATGAAAAATAAAAACACACTAGAATCCAACCTGGAGGTCTTTTTCTTAAATAATGATTTCTTGATCTAAGGGCCATGGCTCCCACCGGTTCATTAAAAAAAAAACAACAACTCAAAAAGGACATTAGATACTTGATTGGACACTGGGGGCAGAGGGGAAACAGTTTTAATTTTTAGAAGTCTGATTTAAAACTGAGAAAATTCTGCTATTGATGTGTTTCTACATTTGGTGAGTCTAGGACAGCTAAGCACTGCCAAACACCAAGTCTTCCAAAAGCCGTAAATTTTAATGAGAACATTCAGCTTAGCAAGACGAATTTTAAAAAAAACAAACCGTACCACTGCAGATAGTACCCATTTGACCTAGCCTAGATGGCTTGATAATCAGAACTCGACTAGAGGAAGATTACAAAAAAACAAAACAATTTTTGATACAAGGAGGATAAATTGCTACAACTTGATGAACTTGACCTATACTCAAGGAGGCAGTACTCAAAATACCAACAGAGGGGAAAAAGTCTTCACATCAAGTATCAATGCTATCCGCTCTGTACACAGGGTAGACAGACAGGGATGGGCAATGTAGACACTGGCTACCTAAAATGAGGGGATGATAAAGGTACAAAGTGATTGGCTTACAAGGTTACAAGAGGGAATTTAGTTTTAGAGGATGGGGAGGGAAGAAAGAGTCCCCACTGAATAGTTTTCATCTTGTCTACATGGGTCTGGTGAAAAGAGATGGGAATAAAATTCTTATGATTCAACAGTAATTGTTACCATGACTAGTTGCAACGGTCCCAACTGTTACGGCAGAAGTTTTATAACAAAAAAGCAGAGTGGTTAATCTTACAGTCCAGAAACAGAGGACCCTAGGACTATGAAGGGAGAAAAGCACAAGCGGAATTGGAACCCTAACCAGAGAAGCAGCAACACCAGACATGGAGGCAGTCAGGGACATGGAGAGAGGGAGCAACTGAGGACTCTAAATTGATGGAATTTGAGGGACTGCGAGATGGCAACCAGGAGGCAGGTTTGCAGAATGTGCCCTTTAGTGGTGTAAGTTATTATATATGCCTGAGTGTTAAAAGCGAAAACAAAAACAAGAGATAAAATTAATAGAGAGAAATACTGTTAACTGATGGTACATGATGGGGATTATAATCATTGTAATGAAACAACGTATATGATTTGAATGTAAAGCTGATGATCTGCCCTGTAAAAAAAAAAAAAAAAAGTATATTGATAGGTTTAATTTTTAACAGTGAACAGAAAGTGCGCTTAAATTTTGATGGGTATTTCCAAATTGTCCTCTACAAAATACGTAGCAACAATATAACATTGTATGTGACCGTCCATTTACTCATAACCTGACTGGCACTGAAAAAAATTAAACTATCGTAATTTTTGTCAGGTGACTTGGAGAAAAATGCAGTAAAAAATTAATTTGCATTTCTTCAATTGCTGCTGAAATTAAACATTTGCATGGAAAAAACCACCCCAAAAACCATACCATATGACCCACAATTCCACTCCCAAAGAGATTTGAAAATGTGTCCACACAGATATTTACAGTAGCTTTATTCATAATAGTCATAAAATAGAATCTCAAATGTCCATCATCTGATAAATGGATGTGGTGCATCCATATAATATATTCAGCAAGAAAAAGAAATGAAATACTAATAAATGCGACAACATGAAGAACCCTGAAGACATTATGCCAAGCAAAAGGAGAAGTCATGAAAGACCACATATTCCATTTCCAGGCAAGTAGTGAGTTTCTTGTTGTGGTGATGGAAATGTTCATAATTAGTGCAGTTCAGGGAATTATTTCATATAACTCTTCTACCCTTAGTCTTTTAAACTTCCACCAAATGACTTTTGTTCCTGATGGGTTTGATAGAATTTAGTACTGAATGACTGTTAAACAGATTAATTGTGATAGTACAAACATGGAACTCTTAATATGGGTGTAAAATGAGACATTTCTGAAGCAAGAACGGAGGATGATCTCACTACCATCAAGACTAAAGAGCCAGGAGTGGAGTACATCCTCTGAACCATCAGATTCCTGTGTGTTGAACCTCCTTGGACCAGGAGACAAAGGTTGCTATGAGTTACAACCAACTGGACAGCACCTAACACCACCTGGGGAGCTAGGTTTGCTAAGCCACAGAGACAGAGCTGAGTGCGTGCCTTTGGGTAAGACTTACAGCAGAGGAATCTATCAGCAGTGCTTAAAAACCTTTGGGGGTAGAGCAGAAGCCAGGCTAAGAAGCCAAGGGCCAGAGAGAGTTGTGGACAGAGCCGAGGCTGTCCTTACCAAAGACCTGTGTCCTCAGCCTTTTCTGATCCTGTTAACAACTCTAATAAACCCCATTGCTGTTAGTACGGTGTCCGAGTTCTGTGTGGCCACTGCAATGAATTATCAAATCGAGTTGAGGAGAGTGTACTACGTGAGAGCTGGCTAGTGTCAGATTTGGTAGAAAAGGTTGGAGGGTAGAGGCCTGTCCGGGTGAATGCTGGGGGAACGCTGATGAGGAAACCTCTCCTTCTCATTGTCACAGTGGTGACAGCCACACAACAATGCTAACAGCAATGCTCACTGCAGTGTACACCTTCAACAGCGAAGTTTATGCTCAAGACCACCACTCGTCTGTCATATTGTCGTACTGTGGTGGCTTGCATGTTGCTGTGATGCTGGAAACAACGTATTTTAAACACCAGCAGGGTCACCTATGGTAGACAAGTTTCAGTGGAGCTTCCAGACTAGGAAGGAGAGGCTGACAACTTCTGAATGGTTATTCATTTATGAATAGCAGTGAAACCTACTCAGATATGGTGCTGGAAGATGAGCCCCTCAAACTACAACTAACAGGACTGGAAAAGAGCTGCCTCCTCACAGAAGAGTTGTTCGTGATGACGCGAATGGAATCAATCCCTCAGTAATTCATTTGCTGATGGGGCCCAACTCAAGATGAAGAGAAACAGCTGTAAACATCCATGAATAATCGGAACTTGGAATGTACAAGTATAAATCTAGGAAAATTGGAAATAGTCAAAAATGAAACAGAACGCATAAACATCGATATCCTAGGCATTAGTGAGATGAAATGGACTGGTATTGGCCATGTTGAATCCAACTATCATTTGGTTTACTATGCCGGAAACCTCAAATTGAAGAATGGCTTCATATTCACCATCAAAAAGAACGTTTCAGATCTATCCTGAAGGATAATGTCCACATACCTACATGAAGACCAGCTAATATCACTATTATTTAAATTTATACATCAACCACCAAAACTAGTCTCAATGAAACCGAAGAATTCTACCAACTTCTTCGGTCAGAAATTGATGAAATGTACACCATTAATTACTGAAGACTGTAATGCAAAAATTGGAAACAAAGAGGAAGGACCCCGTAGTAGGAAAACATGGCCTTGGTGACAGAAATGACACTGGAGAGCTCGACCCATGACTTATTCATTGTAAATAACTTTTTTAAAAACAAAATAAAAGGCGATTATATACCTGGAGGAGTCCTGGTGTGGCTCTGTGGGCTAACGCACCAGACTGCAAAGTCGTTTGAACTACAAGGTCGATGGTTCAAGCTCCCCAGCTGCTCCTTAGAAACCCTAAACACGGTTGCTATGGGTCGGAATCAACTCAATGGCATTTAACAACTACATACACCCGGACCTCATCACATAGCCTACACAGGAATCCAACTGACTACATCTGTGGGTTAAAGACAGTGAAAAAGCTCAATATTATCAGCCAAAATAAGAGCAGGGACTGACTATGGAACATACCATCCATTCATTGTTCATATGCAGGTTCAGGCTGAAGCAGAAGAAAACTGAAATAACTCCAGGAGAACCAAAACATGGCCTGGAGTATTTCCCACCTGAATTGATTAGACACCACACCTCAGGACAGATTTGATGAATTAGACAACAATGACTGAAGACCAGAAAAGCTATGGGGATGACATGAAGAATACCGTACAGTTATTCAAAACACAGGAATAAAAAGACCAACACAGATGGCAGGAGAGCCTATGAAACTTGCTCTTGAGATAAAGAGTTGAGAAAAAATATCAAAGGTCAGCTTAAGGAGACATAGTCAAATATTATAAAGAAATGTAATAAAAAGACCCAAAGTTAGAAAACCAAAAGGGAAGAACATGTTCGGCATTTTGCAAGCTGAAAGAATTGAAGAAAAAAAATTTAAGCCTCCGGTTGCATGCAACATGTGTGGTAATATAGGATAAGCACTGGTCATGCCTTGGAAACATGGTCACTATGATTTGAAACCGACTCCACAGCACTTAACAACAACAATGGGCGAAATCTGAATGACGCTGGAAACATCAAATAAAGACAGGAAGGATACACAATGTTGTTGTTGTTTAGTGCCGATGAGTTGGTTCCGACTCATAGTGACTCTGTACAGGGTTTCCAAGGAGTGGCTGGTGAGCTTGAACCACTGACCTTGCAGTCCAGTGCATTAACCTACAGCACCACACAAGGACTCCAAATAATTGGCCAACATTCAATCATTTCAAGAGGTACCACATGATTAAGACCCAATGGTATTGAAGGAAGAAATCCAAGTAGTACTGAAGCACTGGAGAAACAAAAAGGCTCCAGGAATTGACAATATAAATTGGTATGTTTCAACAACTTGATGCAGCACTGGAGGCACACACTCGTCCATGGGAAGGGATTGAAAGACGGATTGGAAGAGACCCAATTATGCCTATTACCAAGAAAGCTGACTCAAAAGAATGTGGAAATCATCAAATATATCATTATTATCTCATGCAAGTAAAATTTTGCCTAAGATAATTAAAAACGATTGCAGAGCTTCCAGAAAATCAAGACAGATTCAGAAGAGCACAGAGAACAAGGAATATCATTGCTGATATCAGATGGATCTTGGCTGAAAGCAGAGAATGCCAGAAAAATATTTGTGTTTTGTTGACTAAGCAAAGAAATCCAACTGTGTGGATTATGACAAACTACAGGTAACACTGTGAAAGATGGGTGTCACAATACTTTATTGTGCTCAGTAGAAATCTGTACAAAGACCAAGAGTCAATTGTTAGAAGAGAATGAGGGGATACTGAAAGGTTTGATATCAAGAAAGGTGTACGTCATCAGGATTGTATCCTTTCACTGTAATTAATCAACTGATACCAGGAGCTCTGCTAGCATAGTGGTTGAGTCAGGCTGCCAACCGCAAGGTCAGCAGTTGGAAACTACCAGCTGTTCCATGGGAGAAAGATGAGACTTTCTGCTCCAGTAAAGATTTACAGCCTCGGAAACCCTGTGCAGGGTCACTATGGGTCGGAACCGACTCCACGGTCCTTAACAACAATAATCAACTGATGAAGATCAAAGAGCACAGCCTTCGGTATGGGTTGCATCTCAATGTAAAGAAAACAAAAACCCCCTCACAACTGGACCAATAAATAACAGCATGATAAATAGAGGAAAAATTGAAGTCGTTGAAGACTTCATTTTGCTTGGATCACAATCAATACTCATGAGAGTAATTGTCAAGAAATCCAATAATGTATCACATTAAGCAATCTGCTGCATAAGACTTTCTTTAAAGTGTTCAAAAGCAAAGACATGAGCTTTAGGATTAAGGTGCAGCTGACCCAAGCCGGGGTATTTTCACCTGCCTCATATACATATGAGAATTAGGTCAATGAATAAGAAAGAGAGTAAAAGAATTGAAGTATTTTGAGTATGGTGTTGGCAAAGAATATTGAAAGTACCATGAACTTCCAGAACAACAAACAAATGAGTGTTAGAAGAATTACAGCCAGAATGCTCCTTAGACGTGAGAGTCTCCTGTGTTCTTGGAAAAGGACATCATGTTTGGAAAAGTGGAGGCTCAGTGAAAAAGACACAAGACCCTCACCAAGATGACTGATATAATGGCATCAAGGATGGGCTCAAACACAGCATTGTGAAGATGGCCAGAGCCAGGCAATGCTTTATCCTGCTGTGTACAGGGTCACTATGAGGGGGAACCACCCTGATGGTTCCTAACAACAACATGGAGTCATGGTGTGGCATGGAGGATAAGCACTCAACCACAAGGTCGGTTTGAACTGCAAGGCTGGCGGTTCAAACTCACCAGCCACTCCTTGGAAACCCCATACAGGGTTGCTGAGTCAGAACCAACTCAACAGTACACAACAACAACATGCTATGAGAATCATATTTTTTTGTAAAAAGAGGTAAAGCTCTATTTCCAGTAATGTATTACCAGACTCACCCACTGTCTAGAAATAACTAGAAATGCAAGAGAAAAAATGTTTAAAAAATCTTGATGCACTAAAGAGCTAACTAGAGAATATGGAACTATCCAAGAGCTAGAAGGCAAATAAAGAACTACTTAAGGGAAAAACAAGACGGTCCTTCTACTCCGAAGGTATCTGATGACTCCAGAAAACTGGGGCTGAGGGGGTGATGACCCAAAGTCAGAACCCTGTAACAGAAGACCCTCCTTAGAATAAGCTGGGAATCTAAAGGGTAAAATCCACAGGCCCAAGCTTTAAGGCAGAATGAAATTACCCTCCCACTCCCCACACCTTAGCTACTCTCTGCTTCTCCATCTTCTCGTCACAGCATCGAAGCCTCCACTTGCTAAAGTACCTCCAGTGGCTCAGGCTGTTCCTCACACACACTGGGCTCACTTACCTTCTCAACAAGCCCACCCTGAGCACCATATTTAATACTGCCACTTGTGTCTCTCACTCCTCCCCACTTGGCAATGTCTACCCTACTTACACGATCTGCTTAATTACAATGTTTACTCTCTATTGTTGCAACACAAGAGCAGACATCTTTGTTGATTTTGTTCATTAATGTACTCACAAATGCCCAGCACAGTGTGTGGAAGACAGTGGGAGCTTAACAAACATTTGCTGCTGAAAGCATAAGCAGAGTACTTGCAGAGAATCTAGCCCAGCGGCAACCCTACCTTATCAATATAGAAGTCCACCTCGGAGGCTGACTGAAATTCACCATCTAGGGCGGAGATGCCACTGGTCCATACCAGGTTCTTCATTTTGTGCTTGAAGACCAGCAGCTGGATCCGGAACTCCTGCTCCATGAGGTCCAGGAAGCCGGCCAGCTTGGCCACAGGCATGGTGGTATAGAGCTTGAGGAAGCTGCGGATGGTGGAGAGCTGGGCCTGCTGCTGCACTTCATCAGAAAACACCTTCAGCTGCTGCAGGAAAGGCTCCTTGTGGTAGTTGGGGTGCACGTTGTCGTAGTTGGGCACCACAGGAGACAGGAATTTGGGGCAGGAATAGCTGAAGAGCTCCTCGTAGACCTGCGGGTCACCCTTCTGCATGCGCAGCATCTTGTCCCCGTACTTCTCCCGTAGCTGGAGGTGAATGCTCTCGTCGATGCGCATGGGGTACATGGTGAGGGCGATGGCCAGCAGGGCATGCATCTGCTCATTCTGCTTGTTGATCTGTGGGGACAGAAGCTGCAGCTAGGCTCCCACCGACAACAACACCACTGCCCTCCCAGGACACTCGGGCAGATCTCTGAAGGTCAACTCTCATATTAGTGATGATCAGGTCACCCAGAAACCTCGCAAGCTGCTTCAATGTCAACAGAAATAAATCCGAGAGGGCTTCAAAAATGCTTGAGGGACAATTCCATTTCCCACACATTTTTTGAGCTCCCTGGTATGTTACCTAAATAATCAAGGTTATTCCTTCCCCCGCCACGGCTCCACACATGCCTGGCCTGTCTGTGACGGCAGACCACTCAAAGCAGTGCCCACATCCAACTTAAAGGCATTTGGCAGTGCTAGTGATGAAAGCAGCAGACATTCCCACATGGTCAAGAATTCTTGGAAATAGAACAGCCATTAAATAGGACAACTGTGGAAGGGGCTGACCAAACACTGTCGGCCTAGGTGTCACGAGGTGAGCTGGTCAGAATGCCCCTGGGCTGCAGACAGAAGCTCCTTACCATCTCATATTTATATGTGGTCCTCTGGAACATGCTCTTGGTCCTCTGGATGTACAGGAGGATGTTGGCAAAGACCCGGATGGCATCCTGGTAGC